ATATTGCAGAAAGTAAGAAACGATTACACTGATTCAATAGTTTAGGAGTAACAGTCGATTTCCCTAGCTTTGCAATAAATTGATGTAAATTATGGTTCGGTTTATACTGCTGAATGATACGCTTTCACTTCCCCTCGTCCTCTCTTGACAAAAAACCCCTCCTTAATTCTTCTTTCCACATCTTCGCCCATTAATTAATTTCTACTAAAAGTGTGGTAGGGCGGGATATAGCAGTTAAAAATAATTGAAATTCAGATAATTGCTAATTATCGAACCATGTTAGTAACTTGAGCATGTCAGGCTCCATTAAAACCCTATAGCATGCTGAATTCATGATTACTCGATTTCGAATTCTCTAACAAACCCTAGATGAATCACCAAGATGCGACAAAGAAAACTTTAAATATGAAAAAACAAAAACAACAATTAAAATTGAACCTTTCGATACCTTTGGTGGATTTAGAGAACTGAAAGTGCCGAGAGACCGAAGCACGCTTATTGCGTGTGATTTGCCCCGACAAGAAAAAGTTGCGCAAAGCTACTGGCTTGCCTGCAAGGCTGCAATGGCCGGTTCAAATATTTCAGTTATATTTCACTTTGCCCACTAATCAAGTTTTATTGTCAAATTAGCCCTAGTTTTGTTTTTAATTGAACATGTTTCGGTACATTGGCTGGTATGAACCGTATGATGGGTTTAAACCGGCTCTTATTTAGCCTAACTAATTTGTTTAAGTTCAATGTGATCTTATCATGTGTTTAAGTTTGGTATGATATTGCACCGGTACCATGTGCAGTCAGGTCGCTAAGGTCGTGGTGTGCCTCAAATTAAATTCACTATTAAGGGCTAGTACCGTAGTATAGCGTGGTAGAATTCGTATTCATAGGGAAATGAGATTTTCGTGTATGTGTAAGCGTAATAAATAAAAGTAAACGAAAACGGGGTTGGATATTTTGATTATTGAGAAAGCGAATTAAAATACTAAAATGAGTGAAATAAAATATCAAAGGTTACCAACCTTGGTTTTGCTAATTTCCACTTAGTGAAGTGCTCGTTGATCATTGTTACTGCTTTAATTGTCCCTCTTGAATACTTAATTGTGGAGAAATTCCAATTCATCTAGAATAGCTATTATGCCTATTAATAACGAGACGCGTTGCTTAATAGCCCTTACTATTAATTAATCAATATAGAACAAGCGTCATATGTTGATCATAATAGTAGCATTCGGTTCATTTAATGAAATAAATTAAGAACGATAACTTGTAACCCGGGGTGAATATTCTCTACTTTCACAACGAGAATCTCAGATCCAACTATTCTATCTAATTTATTCATTTTATTCTGATGAGATCAATTAAGATTGACAACCTCAACACAAGCGGTTTATTGGTTTAATCGATATAATTACTCCCTCTTACGTACATTATTAACCATGTGACGCATGCATTAACAATATAAGTTTACTACTTATTAAATGACCAGATGAATAACAAGTGTATTCATTGACCGATTCTTGTAATAATTAATATGAAAACATCAACTAATTGATCACTTAGCGATGCTCAAATATCAATATGAAATATGAATAAGAAAGTAATTAATATTTAAGATATGAGGATTAAAGAAATAACTCACAACTTACAAATCATAAACTTCGATATAGCAAAACCAAGCTCAAAAGACTACCTAAAATACAAGAATAATATCTATATGAAAAAGGGTATTAATTGGTATACAAACTGGGGAGGAAAGCGATGTTTTTATAGGAGAAATGAGGTGATCGGGGCTGATACCCGACCGGGTATTTAGGATACCTAACCGGGTATCCTTGGCAGTAGCTACGAAAGTGTTGAAATCTAGTCATACCTGACCGTGTGTATGACAAAATCTGATTTTCCCATGTTCTCTTGCTTTATTTGATCTCATATGATCTCCGGGTCAAATCATACCCGGTCGGGTATTGCATATACCCGACCGGGTGTGATACCAAATTAGATTTATCACATTTCTTTGTCTCCCATGAAGCTTCCTTTTGTCTTCATTGCTCCTTTCTTATGCTCCCAAGCTTTTTTCTCTTCCTTTCATCATGTTTTTGCTTACATGTAAAAATATCTTAAAATCTTCTAATTCTAGTATAAATGAGAAGTGAGAAGTAATCGCATCCCTTGGATTTGAATCTGATCTTACAACGCAGTAAACTTATAGACTAAATATAGGAACTTATAACCAATAAATCATAACTTATAAAGCTCTACATAATCATTACGAAAATGCCACCGCGTCAATTTTTTTTCCAGGTTTCCGTAATTATTTTTTTCGGTGGCATTTTCATAATTATTTTCGAGGGGTCTATAAGTTACGATTTATTGGTTAAAAATTCCTATATTTAGTCTATAAGTTTAACTTCGCAGTTCTCAGTCTAAGAGCACTTCTCACCCGATCCACTCCCTATATATATATAATATTTTCATAAAATTTTCATATTTTACTTAGATTCGCCCCCCACCCACCCCCCTAACTTTTATTTTCAAAATTAATACGTAGTATATGGTTTTACATAATGTAATAATCAATTGCAGATTTAAAAGAACAAACATCTAATATATTTTACATAACTTAAGCAAATAAACAATAGAACAACTAATTGTTTAAGACTTAAAATACTTATATATTATATAAGTATTCCTATTTTTGTAATGTTTAATTATCTTTATTGGAATACTAGTACTCGATTTTGTGAAATATATCTCAAACGATATTAAATATCAAACACACTAGTTACACAGCTTTTAGATAATGTGAATTAAATCCAAAATATAAATTTTTATTGACATTAAATTACACAATTCATTTACTTCTTACTTTCTAAAAACAATTTATTACATAGATAATAAACTTTAACTTATTTTAACATTGATGCAAATATAATATGCACCATATATATATACACACACATATATTAGCAACATAATATTATTCTAAAAATAATAATCTCATGCATAATGTTGTAATATAAAGAAAAACCATATTGACTCACAAACATCCTCCTTGGTAGACAAAAATTGCAATGCAAAAACCAATTCTCTATTCTGATAAGATTTATGTCCTTAAACAATGTAGAAGTTATTAAAAAGTATTGATAGATGTGTACTTATTAAACTCTTTATCTTCAAATAATTGGATAAAATGTTTTATATCCTTTTTTATTTTCAAATTATTTTCCTTTGATTGCCATTTCTTACGCTTTAATGTATCCATACCTGTTTCTAGAGCACTTCAATATAAAATCGAGGTTATTTTACAACTGTCTAAACTTAAAATGTAGTATATTTAAATGTCGGCATGCATGTATTAATTAATGGATTTTTTTAATGAAAATAGCCGCAGAGCCCTATCACACTAGCGAAAAAAATTCGCCCCGCTAAACTACCGAATAAAATTTGTCCCGCTACGCTAGCGGGAAAAAAATTCACCCCTACACTAATGAAAGTTTTCACCCCCATTGACTCGAAATGTTGGATCTGTCCCTGACCATGTGCAGTTTTGATGGAGTTTAATCCCAACTGCAAGAGCTAATTTGCGTAAATGATATATTTGGGCAGCGTAAGGCAGTTTATTAATTGGATTCCTTTTAGGGTAAGGATGTTTTTATTTGAACTGTTTCAGTCCCAGGGCGCCCGACCAGATGTTACCAGACCAGACCAGACTATAAAATTGCAGTTCAAGTAAAAACATCTAAGTACAAATAGTATTTATAGACATAGCGCTACAGTAGCCTAAGGAGAGATGACCGGTACATTCAATAGTCTAATCATGATGGACCTCTTCTAACTTATCTCATAACTCCGCATTTATTAATCCTTTATGTTCATGTCTCTTCAGTTAAGTCATTGACGCTGCCGGATATATAACTTGCGTAACCAATATAGCTAGTCAGGTAAGCCTTAGGGTGAGTACGAACTCGCTATAATCCCGCCCAAGCTCGAGCCCGAATGATCAGGTCAGCCTGGATGTGGGTTCCTTCCGCGGGTCGCGGTCCCCTGTTAAGCCCAGTTGACTTCATTAGTCAATTGATCCCGATTAATGGACTTAGTTTATTAATCCCATATAATGGGCTTCATGCGTGTGTTATTTAGTTGGGTCCATGGTACCATCAAGTTTATTATTGTGTAAGACTAATTTATTTAAAAAAAATTATTAATCTAAGAGACTAAGACCAAAAATAGATGAACTATCAATCTAATACTTGAAAGATGAAAAGCATCATTATAGGCCCTGAGCGGTTGAAAACTATCAATCTAGGACCTAGTTGTCATGATTTTTTTTGGAAGGAAACTACATCGTTTTTTATTTTAAAAACCTAAAATATTATTTAATTTTATTAATCTAATAAATTTTTGTGAAGAAATATTCATAAAAATTTAGCGATGGAATCAATAAAAAAATCAAAACCTATGAAATTTTAGGTCTTAGATCAACAGTTTTAATTTGTCTTTTAGGTTGTGGATTGTGGCTATGTTTGGCGGACATAAGTCCCTGACTTCTAGCTTTTGTACTATTCAAAAAGTTCCTAAAAGCTTCTAGTTGTGTGTTTGGCATGACAATATTTAAGAGCTTTTCAAAAATTAAAAGATCTTTTTTGAGATGCTACCGGGAGCAGCATCTAAGAAAAACTAGTGACTTTTAGTATTAATTAATCCTCATAGCTTGTATATCAAACAGTCACCTTTTTATCAAACAGTCAGCTTTTTATCAAACAGCTACCACCTTTTCTTTTAAAGATCTTTTCAGTCACTAAAAGCTAACAGTTATTAAAAAGCTCACAAAAGTATCTTTTCAACTAGTTGCGCCAAACATGCCCTGTAACAAAAGGACTATAAAGTTAAGTGGCTAAAAATGTACTCCGTACTAGACAACCAAGTTGCCATGCCAACTTTCAAAGCCTAACTCAACATACATGCATTATATATGTGCGGGTAGCCAATCTCAACATCACTGCGCCAACATTAATATTGTTTAATTATCACAAAATAAAGAGTGGAAGATGAAAGATTTTGAGGAGTTTCATATGAATGGAGGTATAGGAGAAGCAAGCTATGCCAATAACTCTCTACTCCAGGCACGAGTTACTTGTTAAATCTAACTTCATATCTTTTTTGGTTGCCTCCTACATTATCCCCAAATTCATCTTTTAGAAAACAATAATTGTGATTTATATGGAGTACTATTTTTAATTATCCAATAAATAGTAGTAAATAAACTCAATCACATAGATGATATCATTACTGATAATTATATGGCAAAAATAAATACAATAGACAAAACTAATTTTTACTACTTGATGTTCCATTTTATTGCATAGGGCGGAGTATTATGTTATTTTTGATGCTATGTAATATTATTTACAATGTTGTACTACCCCAGTCCCAAATAGATTTGTCATATTGTCTTTTTTGGTATGACTTAATTATTATATTTGTATGTAATTTATAAATTTTATATATACCTCTATGGAAGTATTTTTAATAAAGAATATTTAAATATAATTTTTATTTATAGACTAATTTCGTATTAAAATATACTTCCTATCATTGGTCAAAGATAACGACCAAGAAATATTGATTTGGCAAAACTGTTTTAGACTAAAAAAGTAGAAACAATTAAGCACAGTTGCTCATAATATGCTCTAATTAAAAGAAGACCACTTTTATGTGAAGCATCCAAATTAATACGGGAGTAGTAGTAGGAGTGGAGTACTACCTAATACTCCCTATACACCGATGCTATATAGCTCATTATCCTCATCATCATCATGATCACCATTATTGTTGTTATTATTATTATTATATTATTACTCCGTATTACTCTGTATTATTATATTCTTGTTATTATATTATTGTTGTTGTTATTACTACTATTATTACTTTCTACTTTCTAGTTATAATCTTTCTGATCTGATCTGAATCTTTCTGACTTGATATGATTTGATCTGATTTTTTCTAAATTGATCTCAATAAAACAAGTCTAGACAATAAATAATACAAATAAGACAAACAATACAGCTTCTTAATGCTAATAGCCATAAGTTATATTGAAATTTTAGAATCTGACCTCATTTGTTTAAGTCTGATCAGGACCAAATATTTTATAGATATTGAAATTATAATTATACCTAGAAACTAATAATAGTAATAATAATAATAATAATAATAATAATAATAATCTTTTCAATAATAATAAGAATAAGAATATTAAGACTATTAAGAATAAGGATGTTATTACTTGGATGTAATACTTCGTATGTCCAAGACCAGACCAGACCAGACCAGGCTTGGGTAGTTATAAAAATATAAAGAAACCAGACCAGCAAATTACAGTCCTAGTGAAAGCATCCTAATAACAACAATAAAAATAATGACAATATCAACAACAACAAAACAATCATAATAATAATAATAATAGAAATAATGATAGTAATAATAATAATAATAACAGTAAAATACTAGCAGTAATAATATTACTAATAATACTAGTAATAATAATAGTAATAATAATGGTAATAATAAAAATAATAATAATAATAATAATAGTAGTAATAATAATGGTAATAATAATAGTAATAATAAAAGTAATAATAACTGTAATAATAATAATAATAATAATAATAATAATAATAATAATAATAATAATAATAATAATAATAATAATAATAATAATAATAATAATAATAATAATAATAATAATAATAATAATAATAATAATAATAATAACTGTAATAATAATAGTAATAATAATAATAATATAAATAATATTAATAGTAATAATACTAATAGTAATAATAACAGTAATAATAATAGTAATAGTAATAGTAATAGTAATAGTAATAGTAATAGTAATAGTAATAGTAATAGTAATAGTAACAGTAACAGTAACAGTAATAGTAATAGTAATAGTAATAGTGATAGTAATAGTAATAGTAATAATAATCATAATACTAATAATAATAATCATAATAATCATAATAATCATAATAATAATAATAATAATAATAACAATAATAACAGAAAAAATTATAATAATTAATAATTATTAATAATAACAATATAAATAATAATGAAATAATGATAATAATTATAATAAAAACAACAACAACAACAACAACAACAACAACTACAATTATGCTTTTATTTACTTTTTAGGTAAATCTCCATGTAACTTAGGTGAACACATCCCTAGCTAATTCCATTACTCATCTTTTCTCTTAATCCTGATTTGAGTTTATTATTATTTGAACAGAGAGAGGTGCTTCTAATGACAAAGCCAATAACAACAAAAGCTATAGCTAGTCTCTACACCAAACTAAGACCAGAGACAATCTCCATTGCAGATTTGGGTTGTTCATCAGGACCAAACACTCTCTTGTTAGTCTCCGAGCTCATGCAAGCGGTTGATTGTGCCAGGAAAGAGCTCCGGCATCGCTCCCCAGAATTTCACATACACCTAAATGACCTTCCCAGCAATGACTTCAACACCATATTCCGATCGTTGTCGCAGTATATGGAAGGTTTGAAGAAAGAGATGGGAGAGGAGTTTGGGCCATGTTTCATCAGCGGAGTTCCCGGAACGTTTTATGGGAGACTTTTCCCTACAAATGCTCTGAATTTCGTCCACTCCTCTTATAGTCTCATGTGGCTATCTCAGGTATTATACTTTTCACCTTAACCTGTTTAAAAGTATAAACCTTTCCTTACCATTTTATACGGCACAAATATGGGAAATTACCCTAAATAAGACTAAAAACGTTTGTATATTCCAAAATAAGATTATCATGTTTTTATTTTCAAAATATGACGAATTAATATCATGTTTTGGCAGTACCAAACTTAAAACATGATAGTATTTTCCAAACTTTGCAATAATTACTCCTATTTTAGGAATAAAAATAGGGTAATCCTATTTTAGGATTTTCAAAATTTTTTACTCCTATTTCGGGAATTTCCCCGTAAATATTAAACAATAAATTACGTAAATACTACGTATATAAGAGTAATAGAAAGACTCAAATACGTTTTTAGTCCCTGCAAATATGACAAACTTTATTTTAAATCCCTATGATTTTTTTTCATCTCTATTATATGCACTATTTTGTTTTTAGTTTTTCTCTAATTTCAAAACCACTTTACTTAGATAAAATATCATAAGTTGCATAAATCTGCTAGAAATATTTAAATTTTTTCTCTTATAATATTTTTGAGGCTAGTATGAGAGTTAAAGTAATGTAAAACTAAGTAATCACATTTTAAAATATATATTAAAAGCCTTTGAAAAAATGAAATTGCATACTTTTTTATTAACATGACAAAGAATTAGAGAAATTTTATTAGTTGAAGTTATTTTGAGTTCAAACGGAGGTTCTTATCTTTGGTGATGGACTAAAAAAGAAAACTAACAAAAATTGTAGGGATGTAAAACAAAAAATAATTTTGCAGAGATGTAAAACAAAATGTACTTATTTGGAGGGACTAAAAACATATCTAAACCTAATAGAAAAGTTAATTGCATATTTAGGACTATCAAAGAAAGACAAGTTTCATAGGACCAAATTGAGCTTAATTGGACAAAAATAACTCTGTTTTACTTTTTTTTTTTAATTTTAAAAATGTAAAATACAAAAACTGTTGAAAACTCTAAAATTTAAACTGCTAGCATTAGCACTACAGTCGCTGAAGACGGAGCCGCCTGCCGCCGCACCCCTGTCGGTGCATCGTCGGCATCCGTCGCCGCCCAACAGGTGTAGCCATCCGCCGCTGACACCGCCATCATTCCGTCATCACTGCCGCCAGTGTTAAGTTCAGGGCCATCACTTCACCTCCAAGCACCGCCGTTACCGTCACAACTCCAATGTCGTAAATTTGCCATTCATATGAATCTAGTGAATCTGACATATTTAGACTTGAAGATTGCAAATCTTCCATTAATATGAAGCTTCATATATGCGACAAACAAAGTGGCAGATTTATCTTGGAAGAACACCACAAACTGCCACAGTTTTGACAAAATATGAATTTAACAACCAAATACTCAAAAAAAATTGAATAAACACTCTAACACAATCGAAAATAAAAAATACTCCCTCCGTCCTGAAAAGGTTGGCCAAATTTCCTTTTTTGGATGTCCCAAAAAGATTGGCCATTTCCATTTAAAGTAAGGAATATGTGGCTAAAGTTAATTATCTCTCCTCTGCACAAATTTCAATCGCACAATTTTTACTTTATTAATCCACGTGAAAGTCAACTTTGGCCAACCTTTTCGTGAAGGAGGAAGTATGAAGCTAGTGACAAAACATCAGAAAAGCCGATTTACACACAAAAAATTCTGCCATAAACGATTGTCAATGTGCACATTTATGTCACAAGTTATAACTCTTAGAGAAAATTCCGTGGATAGGAGTAAATAAGCTACGAAATGCATAAATAGGAGTCTACTTTTTCATAGGAGTTAAAATAACATGATTTGACCAATTTGTCCTTAAATATTAAGAGTAGAAGCTCCAACTGCTACCGACATCTCTTCCGCACGCGTACGAATCTCACCAGAACCATTCACCACCATGGAGCAACTGCTACAACCATCTCCTCCTCCACCAGTCGTCGGCTACCGGAGATCCGACAGCCTTAGACACAACATCCAGAATCCTGCCGCCTATCGAATCCGCCGCCTATCACCGCCGCCGCCGGTTGCCGGAGTTCCGGCGATGCCAAAAAACATATTTTTTCCTCAACCCTTCTGCCACCACAGCCGTCTCCGGACCTGTCATCTCCTGCCGCCGCTTTCAGTGGGTGTTGCCGCCACCCATGTCATCGCCGGCGACGACTCTTCCACCACCGTCGATTGCAATAAGTCTTCAATTGGTTCCACCCCATTCTCCATAGACCGTCACAACAATTTATCCACAACACTACATGAGTAGCCCTTTAATTTCTCTACAAAGTCATTATACAGAGCAATTGAGACATGTGGTGACATTCTGTGCAACAAAACCACCTGAGTGCTAGGTGCAATTGTGCAAAAGACGTGTGATTTCTATTTGGAAGGAGACATCAATTTTAGAGTTGAATTTCTTTGATGTCATATTGTCATATTGTCATACACTATTGCCATCTTTAGTAAGAGCAATATTGTCATGTGTATGCCTTTAGTGCCAAAAAATGACATTATTTGTCAAAAACATTTCCCAAAAATATGACACTAGATGACATAGTAATACATGACCAGAAGGAGACATCAATTTCAGAGTTAAATTTCTTTGATGTGATATTGTCATATTGTCATACACTATTGCTATACACTATTGCCATCTTGAGTAAGAGCAATATTGTCATGTGTATGCCTTTAGTGCCAAAAAGTGGCATTATTTGTCAAAAACATTTCCGAAAACATGACATTAGATGACATAGTAATACATATCTTCTTAATAAAATGACATTATTTCCAATTAAGTTTCAAATATGTGATATGTCATTTTTTTCCAAAATAACATTTTGGGATTAAATAAGATGACACTATGAGAAAAATCAAAATCAAATTTATAACTAATAAAAAATTCAATCGAATTGTTCAAAAAAATAATCTGGAATTATGATTAAAATAAAAAACTAAAATAATCCAGAAACATTATAAAATTGATGGAAGTCAATACAAAATTTATTCAAAATCCAAATGAAAGAAACTGAAAAAATTTATCAACACAGGGAAGGGTAACAGAAGAAAATAGAGAATTGGGGAAGGAGGAGGAGAAGAAGAAGAGGAATAATAATAATAATAATAATAATAATAATAATAATAATAATAATAATAATAATAATAATAATAATAATAATAATAATAATAATAATAATAATAATAATAATAATAATAATAATAATAATAATAATAATAATAATAATAATAATAATAATAATAATAATAATAATAATAATAATAATAATAATAATAATAATAATAATAATAATAATAATAATAATAATAATAATAATAATAATAATAATAATAATAATAATAATAATAATAATAATAATAATAATAATAATAATAATAATAATAATAATAATAATAATAATAATAATAATAATAATAATAATAATAATAATAATAATAATAATAATAATAATAATAATAATAATAATAATAATAATAATAATAATAATAATAATAATAATAATAATAATAATAATAATAATAATAATAATAATAATAATAATAATAATAATAATAATAATAATAATAATAATAATAATAATAATAATAATAATAATAATAATAATAATAATAATAATAATAATAATAATAATAATAATAATAATAATAATAATAATAATAATAATAATAATAATAATAATAATAATAATAATAATAATAATAATAATAATAATAATAATAATAATAATAATAATAATGATAATAATAATAATGATAATAATAATAATAATAATAATAATGATAATAATAATAATAATAATAATAATAATAATAATAATAATAATAATAATAATAATAATAATAATAATAATAATAATAATAATAATAATAATAATAATAATAATAATAATAATAATAATAATAATAATAATAATAATAATAATAATAATAATAATAATAATAATAATAATAATAATAATAATAATAATAATAATAATAATAATAATAATAATAATAATAATAATAATAATAATAATAATAATAATAATAATAATAATAATAATAATAATAATAATAATAATAATAATAATAATAATAATAATAATAATAATAATAATAATAATAATAATAATAATAATAATAATAATAATAATAATAATAATAATAATAATAATAATAATAATAATAATAATAATAATAATAATAATAATAATAATAATAATAATAATAATAATAATAATAATAGAGAAGGATGAAGAGGAAGATGACTGAAACTTACCAACGGCCTGCTGCCCGCCTCCCGCCGCTCGCCGCCCGCCGGCCACCGCCTCCACCCTTCGATGGTAGGACATGTTGAGAAATTTCAGCACATAATCCATCGGAAATGAGATAAATCTAAAATTGAGATAATAAATTGAAAAAAGCTATTGTAGAGTGGAAGAAGAGATGAAATTGAGATCGAAAGAAATAAAGTTGCAGAGGAAAGGCAAGAAGATAGAAGACAAAGGGGGTGGGGATAGAGGATAGATCTGAGAGGATAGAGGGAAAAGTGGAAAGAAAAGAAAGTGATGGGGACTGGGGAGAGGCCAGCGATCCAGATACGTGCGGAAAAGGTATAATGGGTAGCCTAATTAAATTAGTCCTATTCTGGGAATAAATTAAAGATAACTCCTACTTTGGAATTTTTATAATTTTTTAGTCCTATTTAGGGTAATATATACTAACTCTTATTAAAATTAAGCATCACCTTCGTTTTGTTTTCTCACAAATTATCTGATTTCTTATGGTCTTTTGATAAATATGAATTCTTCAACAATCTGAATTAGTTCAATGACCAATGTTAATTGAAGATGTTTGGTGTATTCGATGACTAGCAAATTCATACACTATAATAAGTCTATAACAATGAATAGTTGACAAGAATATCAAGATATTTTCATTGTTAGACACGTGCTTCATGTTATGCTAAACTTGAGATATGAGTAGGGTCCAGAGTATATCGTCTAATGTTATCGGTGAGCATTGTTAATGATCAAATTGTATTATTTCCATGCATTGTCTCCCGCGTATTGCGCGAGAAAGACGTTAGTAAAAGTATAAAAGCCATCGTATTCCATTGAACCATGCATAGCAAATTCTTGCATCAAAGGTAGTCACTCTACTTGTAATTTATATAAAGATATTAGCTATATGCTTAGCCAGAGACTGCATTATCACTTATGGATAGAAACTAAATGGATGTGCCGTAAGTTTCATTTGATAGACAAAAATTAGACGCCATTATTTTAATGTTGATGCATTGTTGTCTAATTAGTGTTTTATAATACGCTTTAATAAGAAAAACAGTACTCATTTGGATCTTGACTTAACTATTACTCTTGAATGTATTAGGTACCGCAAAGGGCAGAAGAGAATAAGCGCAATATTTACTTGGCAGCTAGCAGCCCTCCTTGTGTGGTAAAAGCATACTATGAGCAATTTGAAAGAGATTTCCTAACATTTTTAATGTGTAGGTCTGAGGAAATAATCGTTGGCGGGCGAATGGTTTTAACAATTTTGGGGAGAAATAGTGAAAATCCGTGTGATAAGGAAAGTTGTCACATATGGGAACTCTTAGCTATCGCCCTCAGTGATCTAGTGGACAAGGTATTCGATCAAGAGTACTAATATTGTCCACAACAACTTATTTACAATCACTCACGAATTATAAAAACATTTTGGTGAAAATTACAATACCCTACAAATGATTCATGTTTGTTTCATCTTTATTTGTGTTTTAACTAAGTAAGTGTAATACTCTGTTTCGTCCACATGGATAATTTATGCCTCGTATGTACTGTGTATAGCCTGCCTAACATTTTTCGTCTGTGCTAAAAAGTACCTCACAAATAAGTTAAGGTGACATATCTACAAAATATTTTATTGGTTCAATACGTTGTTTTATCATTTATTTGTGTTTGAATTGCTCGATTATAATATTCTAATTGAGGGTATCATCTAATACCAACTTTTTTCATTCATGCAAAATGGAATTTTTTAAGCCCACAAATTTTTATTGTGTGATGTTGTGTGTGTGAGAGAAAAAAACACTACATGTGACGGTAAAAAGTATTGCCTAGCAATCGAATATATGTTTTTAAAACATTTCTTGTCCTAACAAATAAAAATATTGATACATGGAATTCTAAGTGAATAAAAATCTTGTCAGGGTGAATAAAAATCTCAATATACAAGATATTGTACAAAAATGGATGTACACATATTATTTTTCGTAATAAAAAATAGTCCTTCCGTTTTAACTGAGGATGGAAATGTGCATCTAATCACATGAAATTGTTGAATTATATGTGTTTTAATTAAATTACATGGTGACAAAACTCAAAAGTTAACATATGTGCAACTTTATATGCAAACTTTAATGAAAAAGTATATCAAATTTTTTAAAAAAGGTCATCTTTTTTTTATTATTTATGCACCTTTTCAATTATGTTGCATGTATTGATGTACATATATACTTTATATATATGCTCTCATACATATTTGTTATTGTATTTTCATTCAAACTTCTTTATGATCGCTATAATATTATGGTATTTCTTACTTGAAATTTGATCACTTCCATCCATTTTTTTTACAACAATTGATTAAATCTAATCTACTCTAATTTTGGTCACATGTTAGATCATATTATATGTGATCACAGTATATCATATCAGACTTGATTACACTTTAACAGAAGCTTAGGCAATTAATACACAAATACATAGAGCATCACATTGGTCTAGTCTAGAACAGTCCTGAAAATTACAGTCCAAATGTCCTTATTTTTTACACATTAAGAAATTTGTATTTGAATCAAATTATATATAATTTCAATATTTAAAATTAATTTTTTAAATATTATGTTCATAATAGATGTCATTAAATGCGGAGAATGTCTCTAAATAAAACTCAATTCCATAAGAATTATGTGTAGTATATCTTAACTTATGAAAATTTATTTGCTTTATTGACGTCCACAATTATCACTGTATGCATATATTATATATAAATATATATTTGAACTTCTCTTCAATAAGTTTATGTTAATTATTTAATGTAGGATTTAATTGAAGATGCGAAATTAAACACATTCAACCTTCCTCATTACACCCCATCTCTGGCGGAAGTGAAATGCCTAGTCGAGAAGGAAGGGTCTTTCTCCATCGTCTCCTCAAATGGTAGATATATTGATTGGAATGCATGTGGTGGAGAAGTGCACGAAAGTAGAAGTGTGGAAGAGGCAGGTAAGAGTGTGACCAAGTGCATGAGAGCTGTGTCAGAGTCCTTGTTGGTTAGTCATTTTGGTGTGGGAGTTATTGAGGAGACGTTCCATAAGTATCAAAAGAATATCACAGATTCCATGTCTAAAGGAAATAGACGATATTTCAATGTTACAGTCTCTTTGGTTAGAAACCAAATGGATAACTAATGTAGTACTTTGTGATCAATAATTGGCTTACATCAAAGTGTTGCTAATTTAGCAATTGAATAATTGTAAGTCAGAATAATTGCAATAATTACACGAACTAAACCTATATACACCAAAGTGTTTCTCAATGTGTTGGAGTTATAACTTTCATACTATCCATTGGAAATAATAACAACCGCGTAGAAATACTATAGTATGTAATTAGCTATTTATGATTTAGTAGATACATGTGAAGTATGAACTACATCAGTAGAGAAAATGGAAGTATGGTCATTTTCTCCGCTACTACCACAAATGACACACCGTAAGTTTATTATGGGGTTTTCCCTACAACTTTATTGATTTTATGGATATGAATTTAAAAAATGATTATTGTGTCATTACAAATCCCTCGTTATCAATTAGTATATAAGCATTTTTTATATAGTCATTCATTGTTCAAATGGATTATGTCGCCCAATAATTTTTTTCACCATCTTGATATATAGTAAATGATATATTTTACCATGTTGTTTAAGTGGTAAATTTTTTGGGACAAAGAAATCTCTTAAGATTTGTTTGGACGAACAAATTGACATATGGTAACTATATTAACAGTAACTATATTAACATGTATATTGAAAAAAATGAATAACAAATATTTAAACATGTTAATCTCTATTGGTGTATGAGTCATGATGGGAATAAAAAAATTACATTATGAATATTAAACATCACAGAGTCTCTGAAAAATAAGAGACTCACCCAATGTGAGGCTGAGCATGAATTTAGTTTTATGGATACATTCTATTACGTGACTACAAACCTTCCCTTGTTAATGAATTTCTTCATTCCCTTTATATTGTGTGTGTGTCAATGTGTATCCCTCCAGTAGTGTTTTTTAAATGAGGGACATTGCTCATTTTGAATGGACACTATTATTTTGAGTCTAAAAGTTTAGTATAAACAAATAAAATTGTTCATATGATGTATATGTTAAATTGAATTTATTTCACTATCTCATTGGTTAATCTCATATTAGAGTTTGAAACATAAAACATTTATGAACTCGATTTATTAAATGCATATCTACATACTTTATTCATAACAGAATTGATATCAATGAACATATTCATGAAATAATAGAATGATGAATATCATTCCACTTAAAACTCAAAAACTAAAGTACATGAGTTATATTTTTCAAATTTACAAAACCTATAAAGAGGTGTTTTAACCAATTGTGAGGCCACCCACACTAAACTAAGAAATAAATAATTAATTATTGAATCAATCACTTACTTTCATTTATGCCTGAATCATATGAAATTGAGGGTGATGAAATACCAAATTATTTAACATTTCATCCAGAAATGTGCGGCAGCGCTCAAAAACCCTACTGAGCGTTTTGCCAGTGGAACCCCTCCGCCGTGGGCGGCGTTTTCTTCTCCTAGCCCGGTCTAGATCGTTTTGGGCGGGCGGCGCCGATTTTCGGTGCTTTGGAGTCCCGATTTTGCTAGTTTTTGCGGTTGAAGTGGAGTTTTGGTACGGGAGAAGGCTTGTGGGCTTGGTGCTTATGTACAGTATGTCAATTTTCGGTGGGACGGGATCCAGCAGATTGGACGCCGGGTATGGTTTAAGCAGGGTTCCTGGGCAACGACAACACACTACATGGGGTGCGAGGCTTGATTCCCAAATTCTTGGTTTAGCTATTCTGACTCTGTTGGTTATTGAGATGGAAGTTGCACCAATTGTGTTTGATCCGGGTGGAAATCAGAGTGCGATGGAGAGGTGGCTGATGTGGCACGGAGTAGTCCAGATTCAAAGGTTGGAGAACGAAGACTAAGTGTTGATGGCTCGTCCCCCTCCTGAACCGCCGCCACGGAGGAGCAATGCGGTTAGGATTTGGGAAAATGTTCTATTAGTTGTTTTTGTTTCTTTTCAATCCAATTCGTTTTACTTTTTCAATTTTAGTGATTTTAGGATAAAAAATAAAGGGGGTAGGTTATTGTTTGTTTCAGTGGTTAGTTTTCTGAATGGAGGCAATGAGACTGTTTCAGCCGCTAATAGCCTCTTAGCTCTCACCGTTTCAGCAATTAGTCTCGCTCCCTTTGGGGTGGACTATTCTATGTCTGGGCATGACGTGAGGGGGCCTATGGGCTTTTGGTATTGTGGATCTAGTGGGAGTTGTTGGTATGGGATCTTGATTGATGTAATGACTCGTTTGATTCTAATATAAGTGTTTTCCTTTCAAAAAAAAAAAAAAAATACCAAATTATTTCAAGTCCAATGACGATGAAGTGATGAACTACCAGTCTACCACAATATATATAATGTTTAACAAAAACTTTTTCAGGATAAACTATTGAAATGTATTTCATGTTTATTATTTAACCATAATTTAACTGTGATAATTACCGATCATGCAACATGCGAAATAAATTGGAACAAATGTTACTCCGTACTAATTAAATCATGACATAGATTATCAGATGGGTAAGATATGCCATCGAGAACGATTGAGGCACCGTGGAAGGGAGGGAAAAAGCATGGTTCTTTGTTAGTTTATTTGTTATAATTCACGTATAATTCACATATAATAATCTCGTTGATGTGAGTTTTCTCGCACTTAAAATAGATTGTAATATAGTGGTGTAAGTAAGATGATGAGTGTTTTCTCGCACTTAAAAATGATGTAGTAAAGTGGTTGAAAGTACGAGTATCGTCTCCACAGAGACGGACAAAAGGGAATTAAAGATTAACTAAATTCAGCGAATAAAAATAAAATAAAATAAAATGCAAGTGTGCGAGATTGATTGATTGAATAAAAATTAAATTAAACTAATGCGAATGAGCGAATAAAATAAATGTTTGGTTTCTTTCTAATTAATGACGAAGGGAACAGGGATTGATTCCGGGGTAATCAGATTTCTGGCAGATCAGGCCTAATTACATGAAATTAATTTAATTGAGCCTAGCTAATCATTACAAAGTTCTTACCGCTCTCGCGGCGTAGAGTACAATAATTTAGGGGACCAGGCTGATCTCTCATGCGACAAGATCCTAAATTATTGCCAAAACGAGCGAGCTTACGGCTCCTTAATCGCTACTAATCTCTTAGCGAACGATTAAGTGTGTGTGATGGTGTCCTAGAATAGATTAGATCTCTCTTAATTCATTCTACATGCAATTGTAATTCTAGCCGCGGTTCCAGGTTACAAAAGATATCAGTTAAATTATTCAAACACAAATTAAACGGCATTCATGCCATTAAACCGACAAGAATCTAGCCATCAATCATGATTAACCCCTTCATCAATCCCAAATCCCTAATTAAACTACTCACAATTCATAATTGAAGAATCAACAGAATTGGGATGAATAGAAATAATTGTCATTAATTAAAAAGATAGAACTTACAAAGAATCCCTTAATCTTGAAGAACAAGGCTTGAAAAGCTCTCAAAAATCGAAATAGGGTTTATCTCTCTAAGCTCATCCCTCAAAAATAGGCAAAACAGGGGTCTATTTATAGAAAAATCCGAAAATAGGCCGAAAATCAGGCCGCGCGGTCGTCCGCACGCCGTGCGGGTCACCGCGCGGTCACACGCGCGTTTTTCCGTCTTCCGACTTTCGCTCCGCCCCCTCGCGGTGTGCGGGCGCCGCACTATGCAACCGCGCGGGTACTTCTGGGGGCTATTTCTGGACCGCGCGGTGTGCGGTTTCGGCCGCGCGGTGTGCGGTTCAGACCCCTCAACTATTTGCTCTCAGAATCGTCCGCGGGGCGTGCGGAACCGCACCACGGGGCGCGCCGCGCGCGGAATGCTCTTGGACCGTTTTCTTGTCATTTTCTTCACGGTTTGTTCCCGGATGCTTCTTTAATCGATCCAAATGCCGTTTCTTCATCAAATCTTCGCCGTGAACCTCCCGGTGGCCTCCAAAACTCTCAAATCTCTCTCCAATGTTCTCCAACTCTTCCCGATTGCTTCTCAAGCGCCGGTGCCGGACTCTAAATTCCTGATTTCGACTCCAAACAACACAAAACTCGAACCAACGCCCGATAAACATAACTTGAGCTAAAATTGAGACTTGTAACACCTTAAAGCTAGGAAAACCATCAAAAACCGATCCCAACACGCATCAAATGCGTGTCTAAATACGGACTTATCATAAGAGTATCGTCTCCACATAGACGGACAAAAGGGAATCAAAGATTAACTAAATTCAGCGATTAAAAAGAAATAAATAAAATAGAATGCAATTGTGCGAGTTTGGTTGGTTGAGTAAAATAAAACTAATGCTAATGAGCGAGTAAAACGATTGGTTTTTCCTTGATTAACGACGAAGGGAACAGGGATAGATTCCGGGGTTAACCAGATTTCTGGCAGATCAGGCCTAATTACATGAAATTGATTTAATTGAGCCTAGCTAATCATTACTAAGTTCTTACCGTTCTCACGGCGTAGAGTACAATAATTTAGGGGACCAGGCTGATCTCTCATGCGACAGGATCCTAAATTATTGCCAAAATGAGCGAGCTTACGGCCCCTTAATCGCTACTAATCTCTTAGCGAACGATTAAGTGTGTGTGAATGTGTCCTAGAATAAACTAGATCTCTCTTAATTTATTCTACAAGCAATTGTAATTCTAGCGGCCGTTCTAGGTTACAAGAGATACCAGTTAAATTATTCAAACACAAATTAAACGACATTCATGCAATTAAACCGAAAGGAATCTAGCCATACATCATGATCAACCCCTTCATCAACCCCAAATCCCTAATTAAACTACTCACAATTCATAATTGAAGAATCAACAGATTTGGGATGAATAGAATTAATTGTCATTAATTAAAAGAATTGAACATACAAAGAATCTCAGGTTCTTGAAGTATACAACGTAAAAACGCAGATAAAATTCGTCCTAGGCCTCTCCACAAAGTTTGTAACCCTCAAAAAGGATTAGGGAGGCCTTATTTATAGAAAAGGGTGGAATTTGAGCTAAATTAGGACAAATCGGGGCCAGGCGCGACGCCAGGCACGATCGTGCCTGGGACCGTGCCTGGGACCGTGCCTGGGGAGCATGCGCGCGTTTCAGGTGGAGGCACGATCATGCCTCCCTGTCAGGCACGATTGTGCCTGGTGTCCAGTAGCCTCTCGTGTGATATCCTTCAGGCACGATCGTGCCTAGGCC